AACTGGTGTCAGCCTAGCATGCCTCCGCCGGTGTTTTTGATGTTTTTTGGTGATGTTTTTCATCGGTCATGGTGCTTGCCAGTGGAAGGGGAACGCGGAAAAGACCCTTGAATGCGGGTGGGACTAGATTGCCCCCAGAAAGACCTGGCAAAGGTAGTGGTACCCAAGGGCTCAAACGTTGTGCCCAGTAGCGAAGCATAGACAACCAAACCCATATTTGGAGGTGTCCTATCCCAAGAAAACATGGAGCATGGGTCCAGCATGGGTCGATACGTGTTAATGGGGTGAAATAAAACACCAACCTGTTCAATCTCTTGGACCCCACCCAGGGCCCTTTTTGAACGATTTCGACCACGAGGCCGGACCCGCATCACCAGGGGTTGACGTTTTCCGCGTCATCAGGCGGCGCCAGCAGAAGCGGCGCCGGTTTCAGCGCTGCCCGAGTAGGGAAAAAGCGGCGAATCAGAGCTGTGGCTGGAGATGGTGAGATGGGTGAGGCAAAATGGTGGGGAAGAAGGGATTTTGAGGGGAGAGGTATTTGAGAAATGTTGGGAATCTATGGAAACTGTGATTGAAGAGTGTTTGAACAGAAGCGGATATTAATTTGTGTAGAGGGTTTGCTGGGAAGTCCGTGTTGAGATGCTTTTTGTTGCCACTCTGGCGTTTGAGATTCCACTCTCTTCGAGGCGCCACCCGGAAAAAAGGATGCTTTGTTTCTTGAAGTGATGGTTTGATGGACACTGGTTGGGAGCAAACCTTCATCATTGATCCAACCGTGCCGTCCCAGATCTCCAAGCCGCACGCCATTATAGATTCAAATTGATATCCCAAAGTAAACATCAGGGGTCTTCCATAAAACAGTCATCAACACGTATTGTTGCCATGTCCGAGTGGAGGCTCTATCGCTCCACACAACCAGAGGCCATCATCGAAACCGTTCCTTCCGGGGTCTTCAGTCCAACAGCTGCGCAGCGCTGCGCACCCTTTGCGCACCCGGTGCCAGAACCTAAAGCAGTGAAAGCACCGGTACAACCACCTGGGACGACACAGGAGCTGCGGATCAGACAGAACCGGGGTGGACTGGGTGGTCTTGCTGGTCACGGTTGGCGGTCAAGATGGTGTACACTCGGGCGTTCAAGCATTTTCTGGGTGCTACAGTAGAGGTCAAGATAGTAAGATGTAATAAGAGGATCCCCAAAGAGAGTCCAAAGATGCAATGCTTCAGTATTCCTGGAGAAATCAGGACTGCACCAGAACATCAGTAGCACTCGTTTCCACCGTTTCGAAGACTCAGGGACCTCCTGCACTGTACACATCACCCAACTTCCGCCTTTGCGGGGCGCCGTATGCACACTCTTCCAGTACCCAAGTCGAGCCCTCTGGAGGGTGAAGATGGAGGAAGAGGGCAGAATCGACGGTTCCTTCGATGTACAGCTTTATCCGAGAGATGACTCGACGCACATTTCGCTTATGAAGTTCAGGGTGAATAAGAAGTTCGATGCAGAGAAACGTGCCTATTGCTAGCCTCGATCGACCCCCCCTTCAGAGTCGCCTGGTGGATGGGTTCAGTGACATCGACTGGTGGATGGGGCAAGTTTAGGGACTTTGAAGGGGGTAACTTAGGGAATCAAGCTGAATTCCACTCCGATTCGCGACACGCGGGACAAACGACTGCACCCTGTTTGGTCTTCGGAACATGGTCAACCCACCTGGATGTTCCCATCCCATTCACGGCAAACCCATGTGACGGTGGCTGCGTCAGAGTGTTCGTCAGGCAGCTGTTCGGTTGGCTCCGAATTCGTGGAGTGCTCCTCGTTCGGGGCGTAAGCGTAAGCGCATCATGGCGGTGAGTGAGAGAGGGGATGAAAACGCCAACTCGAGCTCAGAGCTCCAAAAACGATGTCCAAACTGGAGATCGTAAATGGCACTTGAATAGGTGAGTGGTTGTGAACTGCTAGTTTTTTTGTTTTTCCATGTTGTTCCACAGGGTCCAGTGATCTTGATGTCACGAATTTTGGGACCCCAAAATGCCGCAGTTCTTCTTATTGATCGCCCAGGTCAACTTCACTGCCCAACATGGGCCGTGTCAAGCTCGCTCGCTCGTGTCGCGCTCGTCCGTCCCGGGGGTCGCAGACAGAGACCGGAGCCAGCCGAGCGAGTGGCCGCCAGGAGCAGCCGAAGCTTCTGAACCATCAGTGGCTTGGTCATGGATGGAGCGGATGGAGGGTGATTGACGTGGGGAAGTGTGGTGCATGGAACTGGAGGAACTGGACACAGTTTTTTTTTTCGATGGTCGATTGGCCAGTAGGAGTCATCGGGTGGTTGACTGCGTGATTTTGAGTGAAATGTTTCTTGAGGTGTGACAGTGTGCCACGCTAGTAGTAACAAGTGCCTTACTAGTAGTAACAAGTGCCTTACTAGTAGTAACAAGAAGCTACTAGGAACAAGTGCCACGCTAGTAGTAACATATGTGTGAATGACTTGGGCCGGTCCACATCGCAGAAGTGAATAGTCACACACCACCAAGTATAGACGTTGACGTTTGAACACGAGAATCCAAGAAGAGGTTTGGAAGACGATCAAGTCTCCCTTGCTGGAGTCTGTTGGATGCCTTGTATATACGTTATAGGTTGTAACCCAAGAGGTTCCTAGCTTCATTCTGGAGTCTTGCTAGTTGTTCGCCAGTTCTTTCAGATGGCACCAAGCCGAACTCGTACGTACCGCCCCTGCAGGGGTCCAACAACTCCCTTGGTCGACGTCACTCGCCCGCGCTCGTTTGGTGAAAAAAACGTCAGGCCAGACCCAGTGGGCGCTTTGTTGAAGCAGCCAGATGCCTATGAAGAGCAACAAGCCAAGCAACAGGCCCGACACTGTCGATGCTGGGCGATGCGGGCGCCGTGGGGATCGGACTCCACCGTCCCGGGCCCCCGTGGATGTCACTGGAGGGCATGCTGGGCGTCCCGAGGGACCCGTAGACATCCGTATAGAGCCGTATACCCAATATAGGCCAGTCAACTCCATAGAACTCAAGCCAATTGAGTCCACAGGTTTCTCACTCCCACTCTGCCATGTGAATTTTTATGTCACATCATATCACTGCTTGTTCCATTCGCAGTCCATTCGCAGTCCATCGTGGTAACTGTCAAGCCCATCGTCCAACCCCTCACCAAGCCCGGCAAGTCAGTTCAGCTTCTGCATGCTCCGACAATTCCCATGGTCCGTTGGAGAGAATGATATGGATCATCCTGGATAGGCGTATTTTAGGACCACACTCACGTCATGGTTCGTCGACCAATCCACCAACAGCATCGGCCAAAAGTGATCCAGCCACGGTGCTGGATCTTTTTGGAGACCTTGTTTTCCAAATATAATGTCAAGTGCCTTCAAGAACCCAATCTTGTTTTAACCGGATGTCGCGGAGTTTTCTGAGCAGAAACATGGAGTAAACAGTGAGCTAAAAGGGTCTTTTCCAGAAGGTCCGTGAGTGCGGTTCCTCCACGCTTTTGGGAGCATCCCGCCGCACCGCCACACCGCGCTCCGTCGCATTCTCCCAAAAGTTGTGGCTTTACACTTAGCTTGCATACCCAAGGGATCATATCCAAAATGTCTCAGGGTCCAACGTGTTCGATCATGTTTCTCAGGGTTCACTTAGTTAACTTTCGGGAATTTGCTTGGAACTTTGTCAGCCTGTGAATGGCATATTCATACTCATTCTGCGTCGTTGTTCAAATATTACGTGGCACTGCTGCTTTAGAACCTTGTGCCTTGAAGTAAAAGCACAACCAAGATCCAACTCCACGCTCCATGCATGGTCTTGAGCAAATCCTTGAATGGACCAATCTGATCAACCCCTTGCTTGCAGTTGCATGTTGAATTGGTATCACTTCACATAAAAACCCAGGAGCACCTGCAAAAACGCTTGCAGATGAATGCCAGCTGCACCCCAGCCTTTTCGTGCTTGGGGTTTCCGCCTGGGTACCTACCCCCTTGATCCGGAGCTACTCCCGAGTACGTGCCTCCGCCATGGCGCTCTTTGCCCCACTGGCACCGCAGCAGCAGAGCATGGAGTTCACCCCGGGCTTTGTGACTTGGATCAACGGATCATCCGCAGACCCGCAGATCTTCTTTTTCTCTGAGAAATAGGTTTGACTCATCGGACCCATCATACCTACCCTGGCATCTTCATGCTGTGTATCCTCTTCCACCCATATTGTGGGAAGGTTCTGATGATGCTCAAAAGGTACGGTGGATGGAGAGTTCCATCAACGATTTGGTTCATTTTTTGCACCCCGCTATACTCATCAGGAAAATATGGGAAGAAGGATCAGTTGGCTAGGGCTTTCTCTATTCTGACAGCACCCTGAAAGCCTTGCTGGCTCAAACATCGGCTACTCGTACCCAACCCACTGGAATTGATGGACACATGAAGAGATTCTCAAGAACTCAGCAACCATACTTTTTGCACTGCTGCAGCTGCATCACAAAACTGTTATTGGGCTTCCAAGGCTTCCTTTCTTGACCCCTGAACAGGAGCAACCGCTGGCTCCCAGGGTAGTTCTTTGATGGCAATCCGGCAATCCATTTTGAGGCTCTCCTGCAGCAAGTGGAGGAGTTGCAGGCTTTGCCGCTGGTTCTTCAGAGCAATGGAGGAAGCACGTGGCTGTGTTTGGTCAGGTTCTTTCCACTTCTGAACGTCTGGGAGTTCGACTCGACTCAGTAAGTTTGATCTTTTCTTGCCAGCTCAAAATACGTTGAAACATGTTTCCAGGCTCAGAATAGTATTGAAATCGTTCCTTTTGATTGAGAACATTCCTACGCTTTTCAATAAGGCAATATTATTGCTTTGCATCCAAAGTTAATGAGGACTGCTAAAAAAAAAGACTTGAGGATCCAAGTCGTCGATGTGCAGTTTCTCCAATGACCTGGTTTTCCGGATCAGGTGATGTTTGATTGCCCTGTTGTAAAATCCCCAAATGTCCGGGGAATCTCTTACTTGTTCCATGCATTTTCTGGGATATTTGCTCAACTCCCAGAAACGCACAGATCACAGATCGCCACAACGCACAGAACGCCAGGTGAAGGAGCGCGTGAGTTGGCTCCAAGAAGTCACCACCTTCCTGGGCGCGGAGATCGAAACCCGGAGCGGGGGGGGCGGTTGGCAGTGTTCGGTGTGTTCGTGGGCGGTGTTCGTGGACGGTGCTTGGAGGACAGAGAAGTCACATGTGTTGAAGACCTGATTTTGGGAGTTTGGGCCATAGAATGCTGGCAGATGAGAGATGAGCTACCGTTATCTATCTATGAATTTGGGGACCTACCATAATTAGTGAGGACATGTGAGGACCAAAAGTAGAGAACAGGGATTCCTTAGGCAAAGAACCACGTATGAACATTGGCACAGACACAGAAATCAACAAGGTCGGGGACATGTCGAGTGAACCTGTTCTGATGCGTGTGGAAACTTCAGCCACAGTGACAGAATTGGCGTGGAACGTGATTCATTGCAACAACCCTCTTGGCATCTCTTAGCCATCACTTGAAAGAGTTTGCCAGCAATCCTTCCATTCTTGTCGGCGGTATTCTGGTTGGTTGTGTTGAAAACATTCCTTATCCGGCACAGTTGTCAGCTGAAAGCGCTGAGAAGCACTTGTTCACTCGGGGTTGGGCAAATCAGGCAGACGGCAAAGAGGTCAGGTCTCTAGTGAGTGTACCAGTCCTGCTACACCGATTCGAGAAATGCTATGCGATGCCACATCGATGTGGCGAAGCAGCAGGTCGACCATTCAACTCCCCCTGCCGGTCGACCGAAGTAGCAGATCTTCACGTTGCCATTCAACCAACTCCCCCACACCACAAGCAGTTTTCTGCAGGAACAGATATTCGGTCCAAGACCGGATTGGCAATCAGCTCTTCTATGCCATTGAGAGGAGTACCCGTCTTCGGCGGAAAACCGTCTCCGGCGGTTCAGCCGAACTCGTGGGGGCGGAAGCGGACGTGGACGAGACGAATGGCGGATCCACCGTTCACATCGACGAGACGGAGAGTTAACACATGTTAACACCGGAGGCCCATGGAGCGATCAATCAGTTGAGCCCAAGACAAAGTCATGAGAAATCTATGACAGTTCAAAGAACACTTCCGAATAAAGCCTCTTGTTTGGACATATGGCCACTGCATTTGGTATACAGTATCCATTCGGCGAGACAGAGAGTCACCTGAACCCATGTGTGTTGACTTACAGAGCCGCCTTAAAAACAGAGCCGCCTTCAAAAGATGAGGAAGAACCAAGTACAGTGGGTTCTGTTGGAGTTCTTGTGTTATGGGCGAGTCCTGTTTGTGGCACCGACCAATGTGAGTCACATCGACCCCTTGTTCTTCGGCCTGTTCAGCGAGTCTCGCACCAGGACGGACTGCTGCCGCCGGCAGTTGCAGAGGACGTGCTTGCATGAGTGTGCTTGGGTGGAATGAACTTCAACTCCAAGTGATATCAAGTGGATCAGTGAAACACCCACCAGCTTGCAAGAGGATTTTAGCCATGTTAGCTTGAAACCCATCGGTGGCTTCACCGGAGTGCGCACTGGACGTCTCCGTTTGATCAGCACTGGACCGGACCACCGAGGTACGCGTCAGGCGCCGATGAATCGACACGACCCAGACGGGACTGACATGACACGGCCATTCACCCCAGGTCAACCACCCCAACTGATGTAAATATGCCAGTCCCATGGATGGTGGATACTTCACAGATCAATGTGCCCCACAAATGTGTAACTGCAGCGTCTGCAGCAATGTGTCATGTCATTTCATCCGGCTCCTTGGTCTTCAACAAAAAGAAGCCTCCAGGCCCCTCCAAACACCCAGCGGGAGAACATGGCAGTTTCAGCCCGGATATGTCAGTGAGATGCGTGAGATGTCTACGGCGTATTTCCTGCGCCCAGCCAAAGCAGCCTAGCGGCTCGCGGGGCGGACCTCGCGGACCTCGCGGACCTGCGCAACGCACGCGCAACGCGAAACGCGACCCAGGTGCCAGTTGGGAAGTGGATGTTTTACACACTCCTCCTGGACAGTATATGCAGAGGCCGTTTTGACGAACTCGCCTGTCGCGTTGCCGTGACCGTTGATTGAGCCATCATGTCACATGGCGATAAACGTGTTGCTAGCATGTCTTGCAGTGGCAAACCACTCAGAGTGACAGATGAACATCCAATTAATAGACTCACAAAGATATAGTTCTAATGTTATATAAGTTATATAATATATATAACTAACTGATCTTTGTGATGTTGACCTACACTGACTTTTGTCCTTCTCAATCCTGACTCTGTTGGGTGATCAAATCATGTCTAGTATCAAACACTGGTTCTTTGGTTTTGGCATCCGGCTGTTCATCCGTTCCCCTCGATGAAGAAAACGCCACTTGAACGACATCGAGCGTGGTGTTTTCAGTACATCTAATCTACTGTAGTGCATCCAAGGTATCCAATGCATCACAGCGGCTTCAAGCCTTGGGACAAACTCCTTTGACATCAAACTCGTTGGTCCCTCAGACGTCGGGTCAAACAGGTCGCACATCACCGTTCAACAGGCCGCTCTGGACCTACCAGCAACCCAACCGAATGTTCCACTCTTGGATCAATGGAGATTCTTCCGGAGACCCAGGGGAGGGGAGGGGAGGGGACCCACAGTTTTTCAGCTCCAGGATCCCAGACACTCCAGTCGACTAGCATCGGCCCCATAGGCTGGCTGCCCCTGGCCTGACCTCCAGGAAAACCAAGTCGAAAAAAACGGTCAACCACCATTGTCTTGATTGGCAGGCAGTTCCGGCAGTTCCGGCAGTTCCGGACGTGTTTGGAAACCATCAAAACCAGGGACGTCCCTGTTGAGTCCTCACTCGTCCCGGATGAGCCGGACCGTGGGTCCGGTCCGACCGTCCAACGGTCGGCCGGCCGCAGCTTCTTGTCGATGCGGCGGCCGATGCAGTGTGTGTGCTGCTGCTTGTGCCGACCCACGGCAGAGGCGCCTGGGCCGCATGACATCGGCCAGAGAAGAGTTCGGATTGATTGAAGTAGGAGGGTTACAGGTTGTTGAAGCAAGATTCGTTGAAGTTTTGTTGTTCTCTTCCAAAAGGGCATGAGATCCACTGTTCGTTGTTTGTGGAAGAGTATTCTTCTGCCGCAAACCACCCGGACTAGACTATTTAGATCATTTTAGATCTATTCAGATCCATTTACTGTAGTAGGAAATGTGGACTTCAAACCCATGTTTTGTTTAAACTACCGAGACTTATCTCCATGAAGGATTGCAATTGCATGTTTGTTTGGAATCTGTCCTCACCATTCAACTAGCAGGTCATTCTGCTTTGAAAAGGAACAAGGTAAAGTTCCAGTTCAACAAGTAAAGCACGCACGCGCACACACACACATTGTTTAAAGTCAAACCAAATTCCATCTAACTCCTGTGATTGGTCAAGGAGAATGTTGACCAAACACGGACTGAGTAACGGACTGTGATGAATCCCTCCAGTGAAACACTTGCTTCTTCTACCCCAGCCAAGTTGCTGGAGGGGCCCCAGAACACCACCCGAGTCACTCGCATTGAAAAGAGATGTTGGATGTCTTCCTAATTTTGTTGCCCTCATGGGGTCTGTGGCTTGAAGTGGGTGAACCCATTCGGTTTTGCGATTTCTTGGCGAAATCTCAATGTTCACAATTAGTTCGGCCGAAAGGAATTGAACTGAAAGTTGGAGTATTGGGACTAGCATGTATATGTCTACATTGACTATACATTGACCCCCTTTTCTAATCGGATTTCACATCGGCCAGATGGCAGTCTCATTGGGCCGTCTGGAGTGTTTCGGTTCGGATCTCGATCGTTGGAACCCGCCCCCGGGTGTCTCGCCGACGACGGAACCCGCCGCAGGTCTTTGACGACCTGACGAAGCAGAAGATCGGCGGCTGAGCAAATCGCATCGGGGTGCCCGGGCATGGCCCTAGGAGTCCAAGACTGTTTTGAGAAAGCGAAACGAAAGCTCTAGATGAACCCCGAAAAAAAGAATTTGTGTATTTTCATATTGTCTCTGGATTTCAAGAAATATTGCTCCAATCTATCTAGGTGTTGCTTTTTCTCCTGGTGGGAGTGCGAATATCCACAATCACCACAGAGAAAGGGACTACGTACTCAAAGATGTTTTGTGCAGCTGGTTCACTTGTTTTCCTTTGCAGCCAGTCACTCGTGCAGCCCACTATCCCTACTCCGCCTGTGGGACAAGCCAGTGAAATCGCAGATCATTTAACAGCAGCACGGAGCACAGGTACAGTGACCACAGCCTCAGCGACGGCCGGAACTGTTTTGAGAGCATCGTCCATGCATAGAATCTAGAATAGTTACATACATTCACCCCGTTTACAACCCTTAACCAACACCACCCAAAGGGAGGTTTATTTATAGGTGCAATACATCAATCTGTTAGTAAAACTATTCCATATTTGGGGTTGGACATTTGCGTGGGACTCTCGTGTTGTTGCAACGCTCGACATGCACGGGGGTTCATTCCGCCTGCTTGGCAGGAAAACTGCTTTTAGGAACATTCAGCATTCACAGTGAGGGGCATCCTCAGGTGCTAGATGAACTCCTGGAAGCTGGGTAGGCCTCGCAGACTACTTCTGGATTGGGTGGTTATATACAGGCTGTATGGCAAACTGGTGTAGGTTTTGACCTTTCTCACTACCAAACAATAACAGTACATGAGTGAGTCATTCCCCGCAAATCCACATACCTTTTCAGGCTTTGTTTGGCCTTAAAAAGGGGCCGCTGGATGTGTCCTTCCATCTACGAACCGAGGTTCATTCCGGGACCCTTGGCGCTGCTGCAACTACAACTTCCAACTGCGCGATGCCTACGACAGCGCGGTGTTTCGGCGGAAGATGCCACACAAAGATGCGGAAGCTGAGCAAGTCAGACATGCGAAAAAGACAAGCATCGAGTTTTGCACGATCCCCCCACCATTTTTTTGTATGTGGAAAGAGCCATTTCATTATTTGTCCTTAGTCATGTTTTTTCTTGTGTCGTGCGGCATTCGACTTCAACGATTCCCCGAAAGGACAAACATGTGTTGTTTGACGAAGAAGGAAGGATTCATGCAGTGTGTTCAGCAGTTCTATCAAACAGAAGTCCTTGAACAATTATTGTATGTTTAACATTTTGTAGATATGGAACTGTGGTGAAGTCAGAACACTAGATGCACCCGGTGGGATTAACATGGAACTTGTGAATGGACCTTTGGAAGACTAGCTTCCTCCACACACTAGTGTTTTTTCAGGTTCCATCTTAAACTTTCAGGGTGTATTTATGTTTGCTTGCACAAACTTGCACATGTTCAAGATTCTTTTTCAGATTGTTCCATTGTTCATATTCATTTACAGCTGAACAGCTGTTTTTTGGTCAATGTTGGGACTTTGCAAACAGCGTTCTGAATTATTTGAATTGTTGCAGCAAGAAACACAACAACATGTTTGTGTCTTATGTTTTGCAGTTTGTGGTGTCACTATTCACTACTGTCACTTCGAAGACCCTTTGTTGGCTTTTTGCCAGGGAAAATGGACATATGCCTGGACCATCCAATGGGCGTCCAGTGGAGATTTGTAAGCAGTACAGGGTAGTCCATTCAACACCCAGACACGATGGTCCTGACAAAACCTTTACAGTTTTATGCATGTTGAGTACATGATACCCTCAACCTTACATGAGCGACGGACAAAATTATTGGTTGACTTATTTAGTCACGGCTTGACCCTAAACCTATGTTGAGGGCTTCGTTTCTGTGGAAAACGATATGGTCCCCACCAAAAACGATAATTTCGTTAAGACGTACTGTAGTGGGTACAAAGACGTTTGTGGTTACAATATGTTATTGCATTTGCGTGTTTATTTGTGCATATTTGAACTAAACCGATGGGCACAACTTTTCTTTCACCAATGATAACCCTAGACAACTTCCCAAACGATAATCCAAACGATAAGCAAACGATAACCTAAATGTCACGCCAGTCACTCCGTAGACCTACTTCTCCACATTACTAGTGACTAGTGTTTGTTCATGGGCCCAGCTACTAGGTCCCCGCTTATGTGTTGTGATCCTTGCACAGCCCAGTGCCACAAGAACCCAAGTACATAAATCAAGCGCTGTGCCATTCCTGTGCAGAAAGCACTGCAAGCCTCTAAGACTCTAATCTGAGGTTGTGAGTTATATGTTGTGTTTTAGTCTATGTGCCGGTATGCTATGCTAACTGCGGTTTGGAGAAACATTGGAGAACGATATGGACCCCACCAAAAACGATAATCATGTCAAATGGTATTTGGCTACACAAGTAACTTTGTCCGCTGCTCACATGATACCCTCAACCTTACATGATACCCTCAACCTTACATGATACCCTCAATACATGGTTCATGATTGTTGGCTGATCGACCAAATGGCCCAGCCGCTCCAACCCGACCAGGTCTTGGAAGTCCATGGCGGCTGCTGCCAGCCGGCGGTGTGGCCTCTGGGAATGGAACGGATGTCCTTTGCGGTTTTGTTCCATGTGGGGTTGCGTGTTCAATGACCTAGGCAAGTGCAAACATGGAAAGTTTAAATGAAAGTTATGTCTTTTTCCATGTTCCATGTGGGCTTTGGATCTCGGTTTTGGTGTCCGACGCTTGGGAGGTTGCTTGTGACAGAGGAATGGATTGGACGGACGGAGGTACGGATAGATGGACGGGTTTGTTGGGAGGCTACTGAGGTTACGCGACGAGCCACCGGTGACTGAGCAAAAACCAAGTTTGGGAGGTTCATGGCTTGAAGCGACCTGCCAAAAAAACCGACAGACGAAGCTACCTGTCGGAAAAGTTGATAACCTTTAAACCTTTCTTAGGGCCCTAGGAATAGTTTCCCCTCTAAACCAGAACAGGGTGGATAAAAAGGTTACAGTAACCCAATATTTTCCAGGGAAACGGCATCTGCAGTCACGAGCATGTCTGTTCCCGGGATGCGTGACATACTCCTCTTTCAGGAGCATGTCTCTGGGTCAGCCACTCCAGACATCTTTGGATGCTGCAGTGTTGAACCGTTGGACCTTTCAAAGGCCAGCGAGCGATTGATCGAAAGCTGGAGCCCCAACATCTAGCTTTACCCAACGGTGAGGACTTGGATTTGTGACGTCCTCCGATGGCACCGAATTAGGTTGAATTCACATGGATTCCCATCATCCCTGTGGTCTTTTGTACAGTTTCCTTCATACATACCACACTCCCAGACACCTGGGTGGTTTCCCGCGCCCCACCCCAGACAGAGTCCGCGGGTCGTATCGTTGGTAGGTCAACATGGGAGACCCTGGTGCCATGACCCACAGCAACGATCACATGAGCTCCAAACGTCCAAAGCCGGATTTTCGCAACACTGATCATAGCAGCACCTTCAAAGGGGTCAGCAAGCCCCCTACACTGCTTAGGGATCTCCATTGGAAACCCCTTGATTGAAGGTACAGGTATAGTCGGTATAGTCTTTGTCTTTACAGCTCATGTACTTGTCCTGCAACTCCAACCAAGTCAGCAATCCAAGAAAGAGATATCGGTCCTTCTGTTCGGCTGGCTTTGGACATGATCAGGTCAGCGACAGCGGAGATGGAGCTACGGCTACGGCCACACCAGGGTAGGTTGACCATGTCAGGTAGTCTATTCTGTTCATTCTTGTTGGTCAACCAGGCTGTTCCGGTGCCATGACCAATGTCGCCCCTCAAACACCACCTTCAACCCCCCGATGCCCTTCACCCAGCCAACCTGACCAGCCCGGCGCCATGTTTCAGGTGTTCCCTGCCGTGCGGCCCCTGTTCGGAGCTCCACTTCGACGTGTTGGATGCACGCACAGGCGCGGATGAGAGATCGCTGCGATCGCTGCCCAATCAACATTGACGGTACAGAGCTGCGATGTTGAGAGGAGAAAGGGAGAGCAGGGAGAGCAAGGATGCTCACAGGATACTCCACAGCTTGCCGATGGCAACTTTGAACCCAGTTCTGGGGTCTCTCTTGCATGTTTTTGCTTCGCCACTGCCTTCATTGACGGAAAACACGGTTTTTTGTTTTTTTCTACCGAGGCCACCGAGTGGCCACCATTCGGAAAGTGGTGCCGGGCATCGCATCTGGGATGAATCAGGGAAGGGATCTATGCTGCATACCTGAACCCTCCAAAAGTACCCTCGAAAATGGGACATGACCCCAACCAAAAGAGGTACTTGTATCCATTGTCCAAGGTATATACTTGGAGACTCCAGGTATAGTATTGATGCAAATTCAGATCACCTATGAGCCATTTGAGTGGGTGTTGGCACATGTTGGCACCTTGGAGCTACTACAGTTGATCTTGTTGGGGGTAGCTTCTCGGGGAAGAAATCAAACAGTGGATGACGCAAGGGAGCGAGTTTCCGTGAACGATCACTGACCAGCCTGGCGCACTGTCAACCCAGTGGTCGCAGGGGACGGTCAAAATCAGCCAATCCGCTGGTTTTCGGGCCAATCTGTCTTCTGTTTTGGGAACGGCACGTGCGGCAAGTGATGGTCTAAGAATAATAAGCTATTGGTGATCCCCCTACTTGCAGGAGTCCAGCATATTCCTGCAAACGCTGGCTCGGGTGCTTATTTGGAAGAGAGGTGGGTGCCATTCTTCGTGCCTTCCAAATGATTGACATTTTATGATGCTGTGACACTCCAACTGCTCGAAGGGCTGCTTGTTTGATTCTTTTTCGGAGAGTCAATGTAAGGGCTGAATACAGTAAATCCATTCTTCGCATGCGCCATTTCCAGTGGAACCCATGCGAAGAAAGAGCGCCCACACAGAAAGTGCCCCTTTGAATGGGACACGGAGTCGGACATTCTGATTGACACACACACATTCTGATTGACAACAGAGGTCGGCCACACACACTATCACATACCGTTTCATATCCGCTGAGATGACGTACTTCTTTGCCTCGGATGTGGATAACTACCACATCCACTACGAACAGGTGCAGGACTGGAGATCGTCAGTCTCTGAAACTCTTCAGGTTAGAGAGATGTTTCTTTAAGCCCTAAGCCTCGTGTAGGGGGGCTTGAAGAATCCTTGGCAGTTGAGTCAGGATTGTTTTACTTGAAACTTTTAACTTACCTCACTTAAAGATACTTAAAGACCTTCAGAAAGTATAGATTTTAAAGCGTTCACCAAGTTTGTTTAGACATGTGTCGATTATCTGCAGAATTGTCCCCACTGGTGCCCCCCAATTGGCTGTAGCTTTCTGGTGCACCTTGACAAATTAAATTTGCATGAATGGTCCCAACATGAAAGCTTTTCGGCGTGAAAGCTTGGTTGGACAGAGAAGTCGTAGGCACACTACCTGGCGTTTGATGATAACTGTTTGCCCGGCACCGCTGCTAATGCTTCTCGTTTATAAGCATGTGAAGCAAGAGTCGGTCGGAGGTCGCCGGGCTTCTTCGCGATTGACTGGTCAATAAGAGCAGATCTATTCAAGTTCGGAGATGCTATCAATCTCCAACGAGGTTTCACTGCGCCATCTGGTACTGCCCCTTGCCCGGCAGCGTGGTAAGATAACAATCGATGGCCCGTCCCGAAGCATCCATCATGAAGGTCTATTTCCCAGTCTACCTCCGGATTTATCTAAGACCATTCGACGGTTCCACCAGGTGAATTCGCAAATCTCTTGGCTCTTGAAGTTTCTTCCGCACAGGATCCTGCGTGGAAGGCGCTCCTGCTCTCCTTCACCATTTACATGGACTTCTTGCATCTTTTCAGCACGGGCTTCAAGTGGCGGAGTAGGACGGCTTCAATTGTTTTCGGGATGGGTGCCGGGCGGGTTTGGGTTTTCAGTGGAAGAAGTGAACAAACATGTTTAAGTTTGGATCACTTTCTGCTTGGGGTTGTGATGGCAGAGGTACTGATCAACAGGTTCTTGTTCATTGAGAGTCTTTCATGTGGTGCACATTGGGTTAGCCTGACGTGTTTTCTGGAATACGCAACCGTGTTCGATCCAATGTCATGTATTTAGGCACCTATAGCTTTGTTTAACAATTCTGCCACCAAAGCCCATTGAGTTCTTCACGATTCTGTCTCGAAAGTTTGGGCGAAGCTTTCGCGCGAGCGAAGAGGCGTTGCTGTGAACGCCCACTTGGAAGAAGCCTACCCACATGGTGCTAGGGAATGACTCGAAGACAAGGGACTTGCTGTAGCCTATCTCAGTCCCAACCACATACAGGAACATCAGGAATACTCATACACAGTCATGAATGTGAGTTGGAACACAGACTGTTGGTTAGAAGGGGTTGATCCCTTGCCACGAATTTTAAACCTCATCGCGGCGGTTCCAGCCTTCCCCTGACTCACGAACGCCTTCATGACTCGCTGTGTGGCAAGTTCCCAGCGAGAGGATCTGAACGTGCTATCCCCCCGGAAAAACGTGCAAACGATGCGAACCCATGATGTGCAAAGGGGGCTTTTGCGGCTCCGATGTGCAAACCAGCACCATCAAAGGGGTCACCAATGGAAGCCCCTATACCACTAAGGGACCTCCAGACAGGACACCCCTTGAAGGTCCAGGAAGGTAATTTTGTTTGATCGGTGAGGAGAGGCCGTTCCAACAGAACATCTGACAAACCATGGATTCTCTCCTCAGGCCGGGTAAACCCATGGCTGTCCGGTGGTAGGGGCAAGCAGTATACTGATCCTATATGTTGGTAGCACCTTTCCTTTGTTTGGGGAAAAGATGGGACATTGGAGTTTGGGTGTCAGCCTTTGGACCAGTCTCACGCCGCAGGACTACACGAGACGGTGGATCAGAATCCAGAATCGTCAGCTTCAATGTTGGGATGGAAGGTTCATTTGCAGTTCAAGCAGAATTAAACCAAACCCTTGCCGGCCCGTGCCCCTTGTCTTACTGGTGCGGCTCGTCAAGAATAAATGGACTGACAGACTCCGAAATCCGATGCCGAACAGATCTGAACAGGATCCAGCCACCCTCATTGCTTTCATCGCACCAGCCGCCCCCACGGTGCCCCGCCAAGGGTTGCGCCCCCGCGACCGGCGGCACGCCGTGCCGACACGAGTCATGAGGTTCTTCAACGACCCGAACCCCAAGGCCGAGGAGGACGCCTTGGGTGTTGTGGAGGCCGTGGCTGCTGAGGAGATGGGTTGTGGCTCGGATAGGAGCGAGAGTTGGGGTTGTTGAGTCTGCGGCGTTGTATGGTGGGAGATGGTAGAGCCGTAGGGCTGGTGTGGTTGTGGTTGTGGTTGTAGGGGGACCATGGCGAATTCCATGTGGCTTGGGTGAGTTTGAGTGGGCAGGTACGAGAGTGAGGATGGTGAAGTGTTGCATGAGAATAGCTTATATAGCAGGGTCTTGAAAGATATTGAAAGGTAGTGAAAGGGAGGGCGAGAATAGCCACGGGTACTTGACTTGCATGGCTCACACCTGGTTGAATTCTGCGGATCTCACACCATTCTTGGCAGTTCCAAGAAGCCTTACCTAACAACAACTCACAGTGGCTCACGTCCCAAGAAGCAGATAGTCGATCCTGTTGTCAAATCTTTACACCCACACGCCGGTGGTCATGCAACGCGTTTTTATACTAGTAGAACAACGACATGAAACCATTTCACCCACTAGGACAAAGCTCTGGAGGGATGTACTTCGGATCTCGAATGCACTGATCAAATAGGGACGGTGTCGGATTTGGACCCATACCCTCTCTTCTCAGGTGGTCGGGGAGCTGGATGTAGTTTAGAGGGTCCCAGCAGAAGGCGATCCCAGCAGAAGGGTCCCTGTTCTTTGGGGTTGGACACCCGTCGACCCCAGGCAGTCGCCGTCATCGTCGAATTCGGGGAGTGGTCACGGCGATCCAAGCGACCCCGCAGTGGCAGTGTCCAAGAGCTATAGACCTCAGAGGATGCGATGTGAAACCTCAGAGTGCTATAGACCGTAGAGGGTGAGAGTCAAGTCTCGTGGATGTGAGTCCTGTGGATTCGAAATCCGTCCGAAATCCCAGGTTTTGGCGGCAACAATTGCTGCTGTTGCTGTTGCTGATGCGGCACTGACAGGGTAGGGAACAGAGATGACAAGGTCTCAAGCTTGCCCTCTGCCATCGCCGATGGAGGTAGATCTTTCAGACTCACACAAATTGACCAGATGCATTCCCCAGACCATCCACAGGACTGGCCTATCGACCGGACTGGATGGCACCCCGAAAGGATGACCGGCAGTGGCAGGGGAGTGACCTTTTCGGTCCACTTCTACAGCATTGTTTGTTGGCAAGTCGATCCAAGACGAGGGGTGAGAAAGGGGTTCCCCAACATGTGGGAACTGAAAAAAGCAAGAAAGGAGACACCCAACCAATGAGTTGACTTGTCTATTTTCCTTCTTCCAGGGGTCGAACTGGGAGGTCTCCCCCTTGCAATACAGTCATGTCGGATTTGAAGAGGCTTGAAGAGTCGTAGCAGACTCGCTTGGGATGGTTCATGGAGGATCTTAGGTTGAGATTACTTGGAGGGTAAACCTGTCAGTGACATTCTCTGGCGTTTGAACCGAGAGCACCGGATGCAGCACATGAATGTGATCTGCAGAAAGCTTTGTAGATATCCCAGTGACCCTCTCTCATGCATAACCTCTTTGAGATCCATCAGGAAGGGACAGTCTGGTGTCACGTCAGAATGCATAGCATTGCATAGCCATATACTCTTTGGGACGGACCAACGGACCGTCCAGGAAGACCGGGGGAAACACGTCCTACTGCGGGCACGCTGCACGTTCAAAACGGGTGCCGTGGGTAAAACCAGCAACAGCAGCAGTGTTCAATAACCTAGGCAAGTGCAAACTGGACATGATTGTTGTTCATTTATACTGTATTATATACAATACAATATACCTTTACATGTTTTGAGATGGAAAGGCCTTGATTAACCATCATCCACTACGACTGGTAATAGTTGATCACAATGTTTTGAGATGGCAGGGCCTGCAACCGAATGGGATATACCCAGGGTATGTACAATACCCTTCATCGTTTGAAGTACGTATTTGTATCAAATTTCGCGAGCAAAGGGGGCATCCCCGTTCCAACCATATTGAAAAAAAATATAACATTAAATCAAGAACAGGGATATGGTGGGTGTTGGTGTGGATTTCGACGTCCGGAGGCTGCGCATATTGTTTGAGTGGCGTGCTGGAGTTG